TACTATAAACATAAGAAAATTAAAAACTCTGCTTGTCACGCGCATTTCTTTCTCACCGCAGAAGAATCTCGAATTTATTTTCTTTCTTTTCAACGCTCTTTTGACGCCTCTCTTCTTTTTCTGGATCACGCAGTGAAGGAGCTTCAAATAATGCTCGCTCATTTACAACTTAATGCAACACATTCTCACCAGATATCAAATAAATACATCCACATCTCGGCGGGCAGACCCTTAATATTGTTCACGAGACAGACCCTCGCCGCTTCGAACACTCACGCATCTTATCTATAAAACGCGCGCCGCCAAGAGATGCATTTCATTCACCAGGGAATTCCGTGTAATTTCGTTTTTTCAAAAGTGAATCATGCGCTCTTTTTCAGGGAGGGAAGGAGAGAAGAGAATTCGAGAGATCTTGATTTGGCCTGATATATTTATTTGACTTGAGCCACGCACAAATCATCTTTTGGGAGAGGAAATGAGAAAAAAGAAGATCAAGATCGTAAAAATATTTTGATAAATCCTTCAGATATTTCACACCTCACCATCACACTTTTTATTTATTAGCTTTTGCTAGGATTCATGGTGCAGCGACATAGCGGATATATCAATTTCTTGGTCAAGAATTCCTTCTTCTAGCCCCATGAATATTTAGAATTTTTTTCAATAAAATTAAAATTTTCAATTTCGCCAGAACTTGAATATACTACTGTGTTCAACCTGCACAATATTTTTATTTGCCAACGAATAGGTGTTCTTTTGTTTATCAAGAAATATTTAATATGAAAAACTTTATATGTAATAGGATGGATGTTATCCATGGGCCATTTAAGTCTAAACGATTTTAAATTATTTATTTTTCAATTAAGTTGGAGGTTTTTTATATAACTATTGCGCACACACGTTCAAATGTGATTTATGTTGTTCAAAATGTGCAAAATTCGCGCCCACAGCTTCTGTTGTGTTTAATGTAAATATTACACTTGGCATCAGCCTATAAAGATTTTATTTTCTGTTAACTTCCAACATCGTAATTCATATTTTAACGCCTGAAAACACGGAGATTCGTGTTTTTGGACGCCTTCCCACACAAATTAAAAACAATATAAAACGCCCTCCGAATGGATAATTTCGTTTTTTACTATGCATGCCTCTAAATAAAGACGCAGAGAAAAAATATTTCAAAATGTAAACCACACTTTGGGGACAAATTATTCGGGCGCAATAAACTTTCGCCTGCTGCTGGAGATATTAATTTTTTTGGCATGAAAGAAAGACTTGCGAATTAGTCAACGAGGGCGATTTTTTACAAGCAAAAATTTGCGCAGTCACCGGTGCCAAAACGTAACCAAATCTTCGCAGCAATGAATCTCGGCGCGCGGCGGGAGTCTCTGGATATATTTTTTTTGCACGCTCGGAATAAAATAATAAAGGTCGCGGTAAATATACGCACAGTTAATTGGCGGCCTGATTTATTTGGAGTCGAGAAGGCGAAATTAATTTGCGCTTGGTCTTAACTCACTCGTTCGGCCGTCTTTGCCGCTCGCTGCAAATTAATCAGTTGAACGGGTGCCAGTGCCGTGTGTGCTTCTTTTCGCCCTGGGTGGCCGCACCGCTTTTTCATCTGCTCTCCGCGCCCCGTCCGTCCATTCAACCCCCGGGGCCCACCACGTGATGTACGGCCCAGGAAGTGCGTCAGGGTGGCCGTCCAATTCACTGACCATTCGTTTACAGTTCACATTCACAAAGGACAAAATGCATTCATTCTCACTTTCAAAAGACGCTTTATTTGGTCCAGCAGAGGAGAGAGAAAAAGCGCCAATTTAATTGTTAAATTTGTGTGCACATTTTTATAAAAATCAAGATTTTTTATATTTTTATTTTTCTCTGTTCTTGAATGGATTAAAAAATATAATTTGGAAAGTGTAGACGCTATTTTTAAATAAAATTTATTAATTTTTTTTTTAATTTATGCTGGATTGTTGTTGAAATTCTCCAATGAAGACAAAAATCTGTTTTCAGACTTCTTTTGGGTGATTTATTGTGTGCGTGTATTTTTTATTTTAATTTAAGATGAATATTAAGGTCGACCAGCTGTCAGCACATCCACTTGAAAAAGTTTTTTTTTTAAATTTTTAGGCTCATTGAACTTTTCCACCACTAAACGTTAATCACTTGTTTAGACTATTTGCCCGACGCATAAAGCACAACCGCAAGAGCAATTACGGCGGCACTTAATCTGCCCGCAAATATATAGCGCACGGCACGCACGAGTTTCCAGACTAAAGAAAGCATCCCTTCCTCTAATTTTGTTAGCATAAGAACTATAGTGAAACCTAAAACTCTCTGAAAATCCAGGCAAAAGGACAGGCTTTGCGCCGAGCACCAGTCCGGCAGCTTTTTGTGCTAATGATAAAAAAGTTGATAATTTATTAGCCTGTAGATTTATTTTTATGTGTATTTCCAAAAGGCCGGGGCCCATTTAATTTTACAACATTATCAAGAATGGCATAAAGAATAATTATTATTCAGTAGATTTTTTTATTTATTTTTGGCTCCTTATGCTTCTTCCTCTAACAGGATGCTGCGGTAATACTTTGATTTCCACCGCGTTTGTGAGTGCAATAATTTCACGTCTGCAAAGCCGCGGTGACGCACCACCGAAAATAACAGCAGCCTCACTTAATAACACCTTTCGCTGATCAAAGAATAAAAAAAAATGAATTTCCTAGAGACCATGTTTGCTTGAAATATTGCACGAATTGCTCAACAAGTCGGGTCTAATTTTGTATGCGCCATTTAGTCACACGTCACTTCGCAGAGTCGTAATCTGGGATCAGTAGCGAGAGGTTAATCCAGAAGTACGAGAGGCGGATAGGGAAAAAAACGCATTACGTGATGATTTTTGCATACATTTTCATTTTACTCAATTATTGACTGAAAAAATTGATTTTCAACAAATTTAAATAATTTTTTCTAGATATAAATATTTGTAAAACTTATTAAAATTAAAATCCAAACGGGATAGTGCAAATAAAATTTTTTTCTCCTCTTGATGAAAGATAAAAAAAGTTTTTGCATTTCATTAGGCATAATTTTTTAGTCAAATTTAACTTCAATAATAAAAAATTTAATTTTTTATTAGAAAAATTAAAAATTTCAATCGCTATTTCTTTCAGTGGTGACTAACTGAATAATAAATCCTCATGAAAAGTGCAAGTTAAGGTATCAATCTTGAAACCGAAGACGGCTCGCTTCCTCGATCTACGTTCAAGAAGTGACACATTTCACGGTGCAGTTAAGTTGTACATTCTGACACTTCTGGATGGGAGCCAGAAGTAATTTTGCAACATTGAAATCCACACTTTTCACACACACTTTAATCTGCGTCGTTCAACTCGACGTGCACGCCGCGGAGAGCAGACACGCGAAAATAATGTCTGGAAAAGAATGCAAAAGCAAGGCAGCGGTGCGAAAAGGAAAGGGCGACACAAAAGATCAGCAGAATTTATTTACAGCGCGGCTGATGCGATCAATGGCGAGAAAATGACACTTGGCCGCGGTCGGGTTTCCAAAGGCCACCGCGGGTTTGTTTTCACAGAGGCGATTTCGCCGCTCATTTGAATAAGAGAGTCATTTTGTGTCTGCGCCCGGCGGGAGAAACGCGATATTTTCCCACTCGTCGCGAGAGACACTGAAAAAGGACCACCGTCTTCATACTTATGAGCTTCCTTCTAACGCAGCCGGTTAGAAGAACACGCTGCTAATCAGCTTTCCTAGTTTGGAGGTCGCACCGGCCACAGCGTAATTAATTGTGTTTTGACCTAGCCGTGCACGCGGCCGGCAATTTTATTAGTCGCCTCTTTCGGTGTGACACGGCTGTTTTTTTCCAGCTGATTGCTGTAAAGTGGGCCTGCTGTCATCTCTCGATGGCGGCCTCAGCTTTTATGACAATGGATGAATCTCTGATTTATTTGAACACCTGTGCCATTTTACCAAGTTCTGCTTTACTTGATCATTAAAAAAAAAATATATGAGAAGGATATTTTAAATCAGTTCTAATTAAAGGCACACTTTTATATTTATCGCGTTTGCTTTTTCGTCCATGTTTTTTATGAATCTTTTATTGTTTATTATAAAAAACTATCCAACCTCAACGTTTTTCGGCTACGATCTGCAGCTATAATTCATGAGCTTTCGTGGTGGAGGTCTAGAGAAAAGACCAACGAGAAAAATCAGAATTGAATTTCAAATATATCCAACATATACCCTCGATCGTGAATTCTTCTATGAAACCTCTATTTATTTTAATAATATCACCAAAATAAGCTAAAAGATGGATTTTAAATTGGTCTCTATGCTTTTCAATTTACAAAAAGAATTGAAATTATTATTATTCAATTAATAAACACTTGCATACTTATTAATTCAACATCATACTTAAGATGCTTGCAGGTCATAACATGAAAACTCGGGTTCTGCTGAATTTGAAAAAAAAAATGGAAATTTAATTTTTTCACTGATACATTAAAACACGCTACGTAAAAATTATTGTTATTTATACTTAACGATTTTTCAAAAGAAAAGAAAAGACATGATTTTTATTGTACATATAATCAAAATGAATAAAATTTGACAGTTAAAATAAAAATTTATAATTATTAGAACATAAATTTTCAATTAAAAACTAACTCAAATTGTTTACGTTTTAGTAAGCAATAATCCAGTAATTTTAACTTTTTTTTCAAATCTTTTTAAATGCTTATTATAATTGATTTATTGTAATTTTATGTTGTTTTAAATTTTATTAATTTTTGAAAATTATCAAGCATGTATTTTTTTAAATATTTATATAAATTTTGTTGTAGCCAACCACTATGTGCCTTTTTATGAAGGATTAATCAATCTATTGTAGTGTCTTTGAAACGGAATTAACTGTTAACTAAGTAATAATTTATTAAATTTGAGCAATGATTTAATTATGTTTTTATTTAATTTTACAGGAGCGCTGGGTGATGGTGGAGCAATGATCTGGAGGTGGCGCCGCCCCTTGCCTCCGGAGGCAGTCGCCGCCCCACGACTATGCGAATAGTCCTGCTGCTCGCGGTGAGTCTCGCCACGTTAGTTAAACTTTTGTTCTTTGTGACCGACCGACCGACCCCAACGTTGTTTTGCGTGCAAGCAATTAAGCAGCCAAACAAAAATAAGAGTTCTCTCGTCGGTACTAATTGTCGGCGGCGGGCTAATTTAGGAACTGGTGACAAATGGGCTAATCATCGGCAGGTGAGATTGCTTTTCTAATGGAGTGGCCCGACTGGCGCCTCAAATTCAAATTCGCAAATACGACTTTATTTATAGTTGCCGCGGCCACATTGGAATCGGGTGGGTCGAAATTGTCTTTCTCGTTATCGCGCACAAGAGGCATTAAATTTTATGTCCTCTCGCTAAGAAACTACCGACGGCATAGATAAATAGTTCGCTATTAGTGTCTCTTCCAGCAATCGCCAAAGATAATTGGCTCGTTTAAATTAATTGGCCTGTTTGGAGCTGCAGATTTCGATCGACACGATCTGTTTGATCTAATTTTTCTGCCAAAATCCACTCGTTTGCTGCTTTTTTAGCAAATTTTGTAATCTGATTATAATTAGCAAAGTTTACATTGGTGCCCAAAGAGCATCAAAATTAGCCTCACTTATAAAACGGCACAGGCGTCCCTGTCTCTTTATACATCCGTAAAATGTGTGATGTTCTCTACTGGCCATTAAGTAGCCTGCGCGGACCACCGGCTAAGTGTTTGTCTCCGCTCGTCATCGAATTCTCACCCACCAATCAAACGCAATTAAATCGACGATCGAGCGACTTGATTGAATCTGAATGCCCAGCTTGTGTCAGCAAATTGGAAGCAACGGCTGGACTTGTCAATTGGTTGTTATGTGCATTAAAAACACTTTTTATAAAAAAAAATAAATTTAAATTATACTGGAAGTGAATCTCTGGAAAATTCAAATCCAAGCTAAGCCTCTGTTGACAAAAAAATAAATATAAAATTGATTTTTACATTGGAAAAAAAATCGTTGGGAAGGAGTAAGAAAAAAAAATTGGCCCCAGCATCATACGGGGATCACAAAATATTTACAAAAATAGTGAGCAACCATAGGGAATAATCTCTTCTATATAGTCCACTGAATAAGATATTAAATTTGTTTTTAATCTGGATTACAAGTGATCTTTATTTAATATGTTATTTAAATTTTACATAATTACTGTTTCAAAACATCAAAATAGAATAAAAATTCCAGAAACTTAGTTTCATTAGTTTCAAATTTATTTTTCTTAGACAGCGCTATTCTTTTAGTCACTTTGATAATTATAAATGTATTTTTATTTTTTCAAATTCTGTGCTATTTTTACTGTGTTTAATCTTTTCTTAATTGTTAGTTTTGATTCGTAAAAAAACTAAAAAATCATTTGAATCTTCCATTAAAAAGAAATCGGCGATTTAACCTTTTGGCAGTGCGAGAGAGACGTGAAAAAGTTTGACATGGAACCATCGGCGTTTAACACGTGTAAGATATTTGTCAGGTTTTGGCAGGCCAGCTGGCATGCACGCACACGAGAGTTGAAAAAGGGCCCACGATTGTGTGCGAAATGCCTGAGAGACACTTACACACTTTGCAAGCCGCGACGATCGAGGTGACAAATTGGCTGCTCAAGCAAGTGCGATGCTGTTTTTAAAACAAGAAAAACGCAGAGTAAAAAAGCTGCCGCCGTCGCAAGCAGCATCTTATTTTCAATGGCCATCTCGAGAGAAAAGAAAAAATCGACTGGCTCTGCTGCAATATCATAAAAATCGGGGCTGGATTAATTCTCGATTCCCACGCTGATTTGAATAATATAATGTGATTTTTTTTATTTCACATACTAGGTACCCTCTCGTCGAGCAGCGATTGTAATCAGGCCAGGATGCGCCGCCCCCGCCCCTTTATCTTTGAATAACGTCTCAATTGAGAAACAGGCGCCTTCGGGGGTCAGTTCTTTTTGGTGACTGGTCATGATATATAATTACTGGTTTTATTTCAGTGCTCCATTTCATACTGCTTTGGCCTCTGGACATACACGCCTGCAATCACGATTGTTATAAATTCGAGTTGTTTATCAAAAAAGCTTTTGTACTTCTTTATATTAATAATTACTTCATGAATTACGCAATGCAAATATCTATTTAAAGAGAAGTGATGCCCGTTTCCATTGCTAACTTTTCATATAATCAGTGATTTTAAGTGACTCAATGAAACCTAAAATTTAACTGTAGTAAGAGATGTAATTATTAAGGCTTTATTTGTGAAATTTAATTAATTTTCAAATTTGTTACAGAAGAACATTTTCTAAGTCATGTTAAAAAATTATCATTATTAATTATTATATTTTTAATTCTTCAAAATCTTTTCAATCACATCAAGGTATCACCTAGTTTGATTTATTTTTATTAATATATTTAATTTAAACATTTTCCAAACCAATTTTATGTAAATTTTGTAAAGTATTATTGAATTTATTTTAAAATTTTTGAACTGGAGAGTCTTAAACAGGCCGCAAGTTTTCTAGCTACAGAAAATATCATTTATATAATATCATTTTGATATGCTTGATTAAAGTGAATAAAGTCATGAACGAGCAAAATTACAGAGTGTTATGTTGTTTTTATGACGCGCTTAAGATTTCGCTTTCTCACCTTTCCAGCACTCGGTCGGTATATCCATTACTTATTCAAAATGCATCAAAGGCATGGCGCTAAAAATAATAATATTCTCGTTCAGCCTGTTCTCAACATACAACTCGTTCATAAATTTCCGTTCAAACACGAGCAGCAAGAAGTACTGAAATGGAAATAAACAAGGCTGAAAATTTCGACGTGCTGGGAGAGGAGGAGCGTGTGTTTGGTTGAAAATAAATTTTATCAGCTCGCTGCCGCGCGGGATCGGCTCTGAATTAATGCTGATTAATGCAGTCGCGCGAGGCTGTATTTTCTTTTTCATTTTTATTACATTACGCATCGAATTATTTATCTGATTGCCAGAGAGAGCGAGTTGGCCGCAGTATCAAAGAGTAATAATTCCGAAGCGGCCCCTGCTGGGCCCCGGAGGACCCACGTTGACACCGCGAGTTTGTTTCTTTGTTTGTTTGTGTGTATTTATGTGGCAGGCCGGTGAACAAAATGAAATAACGCATCTCTCGCGCACTCTTCGAAGGAATTCCTTTCCTCTCTCTCTCAACGTAAAAGGGACCCGCCTTTGTCAATATTTGAGCGCAAATAAATAAAAACGCTCGGTGAGAAAGAAAGAGCGATTATATTTTGATAGCAGCAAGCGCCAAACGCCACTCGACTGCTCTTTTTAGACACTTGATTTTGGGCAGCGTCTCTCACAAACGTGTCGTTCCGGCGAGAAAAATAAACTCTTTGCCAGAGAGGATAATCAATTTCCATCGCTTGAACACATAATAATATAGAGATAGCGTTCAAGAGGGGAATCCACTCTTGTGATTCTGTTTGCTCATCCCGCGAAAGGTGTTCAAGTGCGAGGAATTTTTTAAAATAATGTGCTCATCTTGATCTTCAATCGTTTAAATAAATATTTTATGTCCTGAAGTACTCTACTAATTTTGAATTCAAAAAATACCAGATTTGATTGCCACGTGAAATTATATTGAAATTTACGAATGGGAAAAATTAAAAATTAAATTGCAAACTTTTGCATTAGAAAAATTAGGATAGTTAAGATATTCTCCAGAGTTGCTATCGATTCGAGGGAAAGGAGAATAAGAAATTGAGCAACCCTAGAGATCATCATTATTTGTTATTATTATTGTTTTGTTTTTTAATTAATTTGAGTCAATTCTCATTAACACAAAAATTGAAACTGGGCTTCAATTTTTGAAATAAATGAAAAAAAATTACATTTTTATACATTTTCCAAAGGCGAGGTTAAGTCTGGTTTCCATATTTTATAAAATGTTACTAGAGAGTTACCTTTCAATTGAATTCTCATCATTTCATAGCTTTAAGCTTTTATCACATATATTTATTTAAGAGGATTATAGTAACGGCAAAATCCTTTTTTCACATTAAATCGCTTCATATAATTTTTTTTTTTGCAAAAACATTTTTATAATTTTGGCCTTTAAAAAAAAACTTGTTTTTTCTTCTGCTGTGAATTCAACTATTATTTTCATTTAATACAAATAAGAAAAATACTATCCTTCCATTTGTGCACAAAAAGAGTTGACAGTTGTCACAGTTTCAAAATAATTTATTGTTTTTCATTTCTCCATATCAAGCAGTCCCAAATTATACTTTACAAATAAATGATTTGCATTAGTGCGATTGCAAAGCTTTTTCCTTCTCGGTCCAACTAATTGACTTGTTGGACTTTTGCTATTGGTTGAGACACCGGCATGAGAGAACTTGATGCGTAAATTATCACCGCCTCGAAAGCATATTTATTTTATTTTTAATATCGGAATTTATCTAACGCATTAGCTGCCGCCGAGCGGAGAACATAATTCCATTAGTTGCTCAGCCACAGCTTACCCAAGACGACCTCTGCCACTACCAAGAGTGAAAAATTACACTGAGCATTTTGATGAATTTAGTTTTCTTTTTCTCTAGGACTCTTTCCGCATAGAAGCCGCGTTTCGTTTTGTTTACTATAAGTCAAAATTCAAAACATAAATATTACATTTATAAAATAGAAGCAGGAAACAAGGACAACTTTCAGGTATAGACACGTGCAGTATCTAAATAATTTAAAATTTTTTGTAAAAATGTGTTTAAATAAATTAATTATTATATAATATTTAATTTCACATTTTTCTACATGTTAGTAATTCAATAAATATTAAGAAAAAATTAATAAATTTTTATTTTTATTATACTCTATCTATATTATTTAAAATTTAAATTTTTTATAATAATTCATCATTTCCCCGTTTTTCTAAAAATTTTATTTTTTATTTTTTAAACTTTTTAAAAAATTGTAAATTTTTTTAAAAAGATAATACTTTACCAGCTCTGGTGCAGATGTGATACAAAAATGGTTCAGAACTGG